AGGAGATGCCTGCTGCTCATCCCACAACCACCCAGTGCCTGCATACTCACTCTTCTGGAAAAGAAATCTCACCTGGTACAAGACAGCCCTTCCAAGAGGGTCCATTTCAGCCTAGCTACAAACCCAGGTGAGCCACAGGTACTTCCACACATGCCAGTGGTCACTAGCAGGACAGCAGCTATGATGGCAAGCTGCTTCACCTGCACTTGTACATCCTGCAGTCCAGCCTGATCCATCAGCAGTGTCTGCGAACAGAAACCAAATCAGCCTGGGGGTGTAGAAACAGCAGCTGTGATCACTCAGCAGATCTCAAGCCAGGGAGCAGGGCTGTACCGTCCCCATGAAGCCGCGTGGAAGGCAGCAGGGAGGGTTAGGTTTGTGAAAAATCCAATTTGTTTCACATAGGGAAAACCATGTGCCATGACTCATGGTGCAGAGGGGACAGAGAGTCTGGCCAGTTCTCTCTGTAGAAGATGCAGAATGGCTACACTTACTCATTTTGTACATCTATGAAAATGCTGTAAAGGCATCCAAGCACTTCTCCTACCTCAGGGTATTCCTTTTGCCCAAGCTCCCAGCAGAGCAGATTCACATATCCTCGACTGAGCACGGACCTGAGGCTTGGCACAGTTGTGTTGTTGCTGCCAGCCCCTCGCGAGCGTGTGGCAGGTAAGTCACAGACTGCATGGAGGGCCGGTGGCTGCAAAGAGGACACAGACACCTCTGCTGCTGCTTTGCACAGCCACTCTCTGGTGTAAACCAGGCCATCTGCAGGGAGGTAACCAAAACGGATGTTCACAAGAGCAGACTGGTCAGGCTACAGCAGTAAGAAGTGGGCATGCGATGCTGCAGGCTGAAGGGGACGTGTGTTTGGGAGGTGAAGGCATCATGCTGGCTCCTGGAAGGGTGGGGAACGGCTTACGCCATTGCTAACATACAATATTAATGTCCTGTTGCCAGGGCACTGCGTTAGCCTACTGAGACTGGTACATGGAGAACATTGTATTTCACAGAGGATTTCAGTCTCCAAGAAGCACCTTTAATGGAGCCTGATGGAGAGAGGCAGCCAGAGAGAAATCCTCTACAGCCTAGCAAAAAAGAGAGATCTACATCAAATGCAGGCTTCCCTCTTTAAATGCTTCCCAACAACATTTTGCTCATTCCTCGGAGGATCTCAAACCACTTCAAACTTGTGAGTTCCTCATGAGAAAGCTATTAGCTCTGCCTTATGCATGCAGCAACCGAAGCACGCTAAGTGACTTCTTTTCTGCAAGGTATTTTAGTGAAGAGCCTTGAGGAAGGGACCCAGGAGTCCCCCAGCTCTTAGAGGCATTTCTCTCATCTGTTGTTGAGAGTGTGGTGAAAGCAGCACCTTTGAAATACTAAAAGTTCCCTTTGAGTGCTCCTGGAGAAGTAGCAGCTCTCCTCTCCCTTCCCTTCCGACTTACCAGGCAGCTTATCCAAGAGTTTCTGGAATTTCTTCTGTTCATACTGGATGGCCTGGTCTTGCAAATGGGTGCAAAGGTTCTGGATGGTAAAATTCAGCATATCCATTTTCATCAGGCCCAACACCTGGAAAAATCTCCCTGGGATGAGACACAGTGAACTGAAGGGTTAATACTGCAGTAAATGCTGTCATTTGGGCCTTTTGAGAATGCTGAGAAAGGGGAATTCAGATCCTCTGACTTGATCCCATTTTCTCTCAAAAGGTTGTTCAGTTTAATTGCAGTGCTCCCTAAAAATTACTCCAAAAACCAAAGTTACTTCACTGAAGACTCTACTACTGTCTAAATTGCAGCTGGGCAACAGGAATATGTCTACATTGAAAAAAAAAAAGGAAGTCAATGGCCAGAATGGACAAAAGGGTCTGTAATTCCAAGGCCGTTTCCTCTCAACCCAGTGTTTTATGGTTGAAGGTTCTGCTGGTCTGCGTGGACCAAGGCAGAGTCAGCATCACCCGCCTGAGAACTTGAGCTGGGTCTGTGATGCTCTGTGACCCTTGTACCTCCTCATCCCAAATGGGTGCACACAGCCTTGCCATTGTGCCAAGGACGTACGTGGTGAGACCGTGGGTACCCAGAGCCCCATGCTCAGCCTCCTCTCTAAACAACTCCATGTCCAAGGCCTCTTCAATCTCACTTCAGAGCCCCTTGTGCCACGGCAGCAGCAGTGACAGCAGACCCTGCCCAAAGAAGCAGCAGTCGCTCTCTTTTTGGTTCAGGAACTCCACCGTTCTCCAGAGTTGCTCAACAGGAATCCAGGTTGGCCTTGTATTGAGACTAAGCTAGCTCCTCAGTACACAAATTCTGGGGCACACAGTCACTTTGAGGGAATGCTCGACTAATGACTCACTTCAGGATGTCTGGCTACTGTTTCGAATCGCACAAAACCTCCTTTACTGTCAGGCATGAAAGAAGGGAGTTCTCTGTCTGGAGTCTAATGGGAATAGACTGAAAAAGCAAACTATACAAAACTTGATGCCCTGCTAGAAACATACGTCTTTCAGTGTGAAACCATGTTTGCACTCACTTCATTGTACATTTAAAGAGTAGATACAGGTCCTCATATCCCTAAAGAGGTGTCTCTGTAGAGAGAACTGCAG